TCTTCCGTCTCTCTCAATTTTCTCATGTCATTATTGTCAATATAATTTTACACGCGGACTAAAATATGACACTTGGACCAAGTCACTGTCGCTTATTTCACGCGTGGACGTACACTACTGGACAAAACAGGTGTGCGGACAAAAAATCGTTGACGGAATGACCTGAAACCCTAAATTCAGCTTGTGATTCCGGTATTATGGGAAATTCAGCTTGTGGGTCTCAAAACGGCCCTTATCAATCCCCTCCCCCCTCTACTCTAAAATTCGTATCTTATCATAAAGAATTTGGCAAAACCTGGATGTTGGTACACGGTTTTGGCTTGGGACAGCAGAGAACTTTTCGGCGATCACAGCTCGTTGGGCCATGCCGGACTCTGCTCCGGTCAGTGGCGAGGCGTGAATGATCGATTATCGATATTTCCCCATTTGAGCTGTGGTAAAGAATCGATTATTAGGGTGTTTGCTGCGAACACCCTAATAATCGATCCTTTCCAAAGGTTGAAATGGTAGATCAGTCGATATATCGCAAAAGACGCCACGCCACTCGCTGAAAAAAAATTTTCGATGTTTTTACCAAGGTCCGTTGGTACCTTTGCCATCTCACTTTTTTTTTTTACCAATTATTGGTAATTTTACCAAGACAGACTGGCAAGCTTACCTAAAAACCGGTATTTTTACTGTTTTTTTCAGGTAAGAATACCACTTTTAGGTATTGGTAATCAATTCCCGGTAACTTTGCCATTTTATCTCGGTAATTCTACCACAGTCGATAAAAAATATTGGCGTTTTTACCAAGGTCCAGTGAAATTACGGGGAAAGTTCAATAATTTTACCGAGTTTTCTCGGTAAAATTACCAATTCCATAAATAGTAATTTTACGAAGAAAAAACTGGAATCAAATAGAGCCCTGGATTCTTAGTAATTTTACCCTTTTCTAGGTAAATACACCGATATTTTTATTTAGTGTGGTCGGCGGAAAGTGGTGGCGGCGTGGATCGGGGCCGGATTTCGGAGGGGGTCGCGGATAAATTGGTCGTAACTTTGAGTGGCGTGACGTCACTTAGGCGGTAACCGGATTCGGGAGGGGTATAAAGTTAAGCGTGACATGTGACCGGGACAAATTGGCTGTAAACTACATTGAAAACAATCAAACTGGAAAAAACGCCCCAGTTTGATTTCCCGGGAGTGGTCTCCGGCGGGGTTTCGGCTTTGGCCTCGGAGGCACTTGATGCTCCGGCCCACGCCGCCTTGCTAAGGAAAAACGCCGTATGCACGTCCAAACGTTGCCAAATTTCTCACGATGAATTAATTATTTTATTATCTCTCAGGAAATTTTTGAGTACATTCCTTCGAAATTTTCAGATACGTTAGATTAAACTGCGAATTAAATCCTCTGAAAAATTAAAAGAAAAATATGAACGAAATGCCCTAAAATTTTTTATTTTATCGAGGGAAATTTGGGAACGCCTGATGGCTCATACGGCGTTCAAAGGTTGCCAAATTTTTCGTGATGAATTAATTATTTCACAGGAAATTTTTGAGTACATTCCTTCGAAATTTTCAGATACGTTGGATTAAATTGAGAATTAAATCCTCTGAAAAATTGAAAGAAAAATATATGAACGAAATGCCCTAAAAATTTGTATTTCGTCGAGGGAAAGTTGGAAACGCCTGACGGCTCATACGGCGTTCTCTCTTAGCACAATAGCACAGGACGCCACCTTCAAGAATCCCGAGTCGATGGAATATGATGAAACAGAAACAACTGGGTGTCCCATGGCATTACACCTACTCCAGCCTGATCCGTGTTTTTTCACAGGTTTGTCCTCTGTTTAAGTCATCACGGAAAAAAAGTGTCAGGAATTATCCCCCAAAATTGTTCTACTACCCAAATTTGTTGGATGATATGGCCATTTCCAATTAATTTTGGTAGCTCCGCAATTCAAGTTGGGGTAGCACCGCAACATTTGGTTTAGTAACCTAATTTACCGGGATACTACCACAATAATCGGGGTATTACCACAATTAATTGGGAATGTCCATATCATCCAACAGTTGGGACTTAACCCCTACCTCTTTTTTTCTGTGATCCTTTGGGGGAAACATTATAACCCAGAACCGGCTCCCAAACCCCAATCGTAAAATCCAATCGATCCCCTCAACTAGTAGGGTCTATCCTAAATTTTCCAACGAAGACAGATTTTTTTCATATAAATTCGTCACATTATTGGTTTTTTAGTGAATATTCACCGGTACAGGAAACGAAGTTTCCATGATTTTGCATCTGTCTCCTCGGAAGTCCTCAGTGCCGGAGGGTGCGGGGCGGGACCCGGTGGGGGTGGGGGGGGGATGTCGCGGGCGAGCCGCGAAACGCGACGCCTGATAAATAAAGAATAAGCCCCCGGAGCTTTTATCAAGTTGGCCAACTTTCGTTTTAATGAGCCAGCCCAGAATGGTTAATTAGTTACTTGGAGCCGAGCAGCGCGCCACGACGGCCCCGCCATCGCGAAAAAATCCGCTCCCTAATTATGAATTGTTGCTTTTTTAGTGCTCCGCCTCGGCACCGCGCCCCATTATCCGGGAGGGTTGCCGGCTTCGCTCGTTCCTCCCTTGCGAAATCGAGGAAATCGGGGTATTTAGGTGTGCGATGTGGCAACTGACTATTCCCGTCGGCGTGAAATGCAACCCCGAGCTCCGTAAATGCGAAAAGTGCACTTATCATGTCTAGACTACCTACATCGGGAGAGTATTGCCATGTCTGTGCCGCTCTGTGATTCGCTCACCGGTTTTAGATCTCTAGGGCCATTCAATGCCATTCATTGATAACGTTGTGCACTTATGGAGGAAGGGGGTATGCATAAGTATAGACAATGGACCACTAGACAAGGAACGAATGTCAGCATTCTGATACATGTTTATTCACCAAAAGTTCGCGTAAAACACGATGCGCACAACGAAAATTACCGACATGAACTCCTTCCGAAGATATTTAATGATTCTTGGTGCGTGAATTGAAACCACCCGCTCATGAAAACTCAATGCCCTACATGATTCACATTGCGCGCTAAACGTTATCATGAACGTCTCTGCGATAAAAAAAAAAAATAGCAACCTAGATATTAGCGCTTTAGCTCAGCTATAGCAAATTACTTATGGTTTGAAAAACACATGGTGGGAAATAAACATTGCTCGATTGAGAAGCTTTCTGAAACTTGTAGTGCGCGATTTGACTCACGTAGGCTTTGAGTTTTTTGTGAGCGGGCAGTTCAAATTCCTCGTAACCAATCTGAAATAAAAACGTTATCGTATCTTCGTTAGGAGTTTGTTTCAGTAATTTTTGTTGTACGAATCGTGTTTTACGTAAAATTCTGGTTAAGAAAAATGTATCAGAATGCTTAAATTTGTACCTTGTCGATGACAGTGGTCCATTGCCATCACAATCCATTCAGCACAGAAAAATTGTGCCGATTGCTCACTGGTTGCACCATTCTGCCATGCTAAGGAAAAACGCCGTATGAACATTCGAGAGTTGCCGAATTTCCTTCGATAAAATGTTTATTTTTGAGGAAAGTTATGAATATTTTTATTTGCAATTGTTAGTAACTTTAGGTGAAATTCTGAGCAAAAGTATCTGAAAAATTGGAAAGAAAATATTCATAAGTTTACCAGGAAATTCGTGTTTTACTAAAGGAAATTTGGCAACGCCTGGAGGTTCATACAGCGTTTTTCCTTAAGCACGACAGCATTTCACTCGTTAATGAAGCCCCCCCCGCTCCTAGTTTTGAACTGAGGTAAAACGAAAATGATGGCGGCAGAGTCCTGGGCGTGATAAGGAATTTTCAACTTCCGAAGTCAAACAGTTTTCGATGAGCATTTTTGTGCATTATCATAGTCTCTCAATAAGTTTCTCCGTTAAAAAAAGGAAATTTCTTCGAAATTGAAATTGTTTACATCGTGTCTTCACAGCCGACGGAAAGTATAGATTTTAAACAGAGAGAATTCGTACGTGTCAGTTCTGCTCTTGGATTGGTTCATAAGTTTTAGGATTATTTTAAGTTCCTCCTAATGAACGGTACCTGCAGGAAAATGTCCTCATAACTCTAGTTTCTTGTGAATGAGACTGATTTCGCTATTTTACCGAGATCAGCCGGTTCATTTAAATTAGAATGATTGAATTTTAAGGGTCACGCGATATTAATAATTGGGTACTGAAGTCTCTGTCTCTCATCGATAACATGACAGTGTAGAAACATTCGAATGGTGATTCATAACCCGAGCGTGGTGCTTCCCATCATAAAATTAAAAACCTTCGCTTCACTGCGCATCAATTTTAATTTGTTTCATTGTTCTTGCTCCTCAGGGGCAATTTTTTACCCAGTTTTTTCACACTTGTTTTTACCTACCAATCACAATCACGTTCATTAATTACACATTTAGAACTGCAAGCCTATCCTCAGTGTCAATTCTCGCAAGTTAGTGCGACTGCTTTCCTTACATTTGAATCCACTATCGATTCTAGGTAGGGCAGCTTACTTCGATACGAAATCCAGAGTTGCCAATAGGTGGGAATTGTCACTGCTGAAACGACTACGGCTCGGATCATAAAAAGGGGTCTTTTTAGATGTATCCTTTGTCAAAAAGTAATTCATCGTACACAGTTTGGCAAGCATAATGATGCTCTCTCAAAGTGAGCATAGGCTAGTAAACAAGTCACTCCTCTGCTATAACTGCTATAAGGGCGTACCTAGATATCTACGTGAGCCCTGATTCACACATGAATCCATGCTACCAAGAGCTCATGTAGAAATCGAGATAAGCTCTCACGTCTATAGATGAGCGACGAAGTGTGGAAGGTGTGAAAATTCCACGGTAAGACAACAATATACCTTGATTACTGACGTACCTTTTTGCCTTGACTTGCTGAGGAAGTTCAACTAAACCTGAGAAAAAATTGACTATAAAAACGACTCGGAAGCGGATTATTCTCAGTTGGTATTACTACGTCCGCAGTCATGGGTACCAAGTATAGACCGTTACTATTTCTACTCCTCGCCGCTTATTTTCAGGTAACATTAACAAAAATTAAAAGTCATATTTTAATTGGTCTATAGACTTTGTGCTTGTGCTTGTTTTAGATTGCATGGTTTGTTAGCAACGCACGCCATGTTATCTACAAAGAGGGATTTGTTTGTTGCACACGACGGATAATTCACGCTGAGAACACTTTCGATCCGTAAAATCGCTCAAAAATCACGTCGAGCCATCAAATTTTGGAGACTTGCGCAGATCTCGAAGAAACTTCCGGGGACTCAGTTATGGGCCAGCCGGATCTCGTGTTTCCGGTGGTTTGATTGTTTCAGAAAGGGTTGAAATGAGTGCGAACTGGAAAGAAGTCCTAGTGTCCATCGCGCGCAAACCTGTGTTAAGTTCAAAAAGTCTTGTAAAGTCGTGTGATCAACTCCAACAGATATAGACAAATAATTAGTTAATTGTTGAGCTGTTGTGTGGCAATCAAGGCGTATTTAATTACAACTGGTGAATTAATTGCAACCTAGGCGATCACGAACGTGGCGGGAGATCACCAAGTTCCCTTTGGAATTCGCACTCATTTCGGCTCTTTCTAAAACAATCGCACCATCGGAATAACGAATGCCAGCCCACAACTAAGTCTCCAAAAGCTTTTTCGAAATCTGCATGAGTCTCAGTGGCCGTTTTTCCTGGGAGTACACAATATTATATTACGTAATATATAATGTAATGGGTCAGTTGCGCTGGTCATAGAACCGTATTTTGATGCCTGATTCTTGTAGATTATAGCTAAAAATAATAAGATCCGTCTGAACGGCAACTTTCTACGTTGAATATCAACCAAAATATCGCGCCTAGAAACACTCGATTTATGACGTCATCAACCGAGCATAACATGGTATGTACAACCGCGGTGGATGACGTCAAGAACCCAACTCTTCAAAGAACGATAACTCGGTTAATATTCAACATAGAAAGTTGCTGTTTGGACAGATCGTTTTATTTTTAGCTAATTAACAAGAATCAAGCATCAAATCACGATGTTGTGACCAACACAACTGGTCCATTCTGCAATTACAAATTGGCATTTCCTAATTAGCCTCTTGTTTTAGGCGCAATTTACCCCTTGCTCATGTTATCCGCTTGGGGACGATAATGTGGTTACGGAGGAAGTTGAACCATCAAACGCAGACACCGATGACGGCAAGGCAGACATTGTAAAGAAGATCCAGGAAAAAGAGGCCGAAATCGTCAAGCTAAGGGACAGCATCGAAAACGTAATTTACAAGAAGTCAAACGAGACCTACGCGAGGAAGATGAATGAAATGAAAGGAGAATATCGAGAATATATCTCTTTATACGAGGAGAATAAAACGGAGAAAGAGAAGTTGGCGGACCTCGAGGAAGATTGTGCGGAGACAGTCGACAAAGTTGATCAGGAAATCCGCAACCTGAAAAACCTGATTCAGCGCAGTCGAGGGGACCCCGAGAGGATGTTAGACCTGATGGAAGAATTGGAGAAGAAGGAGGATTTGCGTGAGGGGATCATGGAAACCTTTGAGAGATATAAGCAGCCCATTAGACGCGGGGTACAAATCCGGACTCTTAATATACAGATTTTTCGCGAAAAGTTCAGGCGAGTAAAGAGGGAGATCGAACATGGGGCACGCGCTGAAGTTGGCGAAGTTAAAGATGAAATTGAACGCACCCAGAGAGAAATAGAGAAGTTGAGATCGAAATTGGATACAGCCGAAGGTTAACAACAAGAGTCGCGTTGAAGTGAGGGGGTTTTCCAGGTTTTCTTCCACGGAAAAACTGGTTCTTTTTCTAATTTAAAAAAGAGGAGAAGGAAGAAAAAAAAGGAAACAGCAAGGGGAAAAATTAGGAAAAAACAATAAAATAAGATTGAATTATGAAAGTTGCATTATAAAAATTAAAGAAACAATACGACGAAACCAAAATACTTTTTTTTTCTAACTATACGCGTATAAATTTATATACATACGTGATTTGCTTCTCTTTTTAATTTTAACTTCATGCCTAATTTTATTTTGGATTTTATTTTTTAGTAAAAAGGGAGGAAGAGAAAAAGTTGCTCTGATAATCCTTAACGCACGTTTTATTTGAATTTTTCGGGGTGAAAAGTAAGGTAGGCGGGAATTTCTTATTTTAAAAATTTTACCGTACAAAAGTAAGTTAAATCAGAACCAATCCTGACTTCACCTGATAGTAGTACCGAAACTTACTAAGCAACCTCGCCAAACAAAACAAAAGTTTCATCAGTTATTCTTTCCGATCAGAAGCTATTTTATGTCTGTTCATCCTTTTTTTTTCTTTCTTCATCACTTTTTAGCGATTCTTAATTGCTACATCCAATGCCCGGTTTAACATAAAAACCGGATACCATAATTATTATTTTCATGCGCATATCCTTTCGCTGTGTTATTTTTTGTTTAAGATTGATTAGTCATAAACACATTTCATCATACGACTTTTGGAGTTTAATTTTCTTCTTTTTCTGGCATACAGTTATTTCGCCTTGAAACAAATAATGTTCATGGGATCAGTGCTTTTGAAAATGGGATCGTGCAATAAGCGCAAGTCTCGATTATAACCTTCAAAGTGGTGCGTTGATACGGAGTAAAAAGAGACTTTGCGAAACATATCGAAAAATATAATATTACAGATAATGGTAAAGTTTTAATGGTTGTAAAGGTCTAGACATGCTTGAATATTAATAGGTGTTTCTTTCTTTCAAGTGATATTGAAAAACTAGGCAACTTGGCAACTAGGCAATGGGAAAACAAATTTTTCCTTCCATAAACATTTTGGAGAATCAGAACTTTCCATTATTAACTAATGAGAAAAGAATTTGATCTTTTGGCTAAATATTCAAGATAGTCTGGTAAAAATCCATACTGAGAAAAAGCAAACTTCGGTAATCCAGAGGGATTGAGCTTCGGTCTGTTTTGAAATCTCAAGTTGCCGGTTATAGGAGCCAAATTACGAACAGCTGAACCAAAGATCGGTCTCTCTAACGAAAACTTTAGTTTTCTGAACCACAATATTTGGTGTTTAATATGAACCGAACTTGTCATCCTAGTGACGGTCAGGAAAAGTCTGGAAATAAAATTGAATATAGTGTCGTTATCTCTGAAAAATTTCAAACGACGAGAACTTGTTGCTATAGGAAACCAAGATTTGTTGGAACTTCAAACAGTTTTCCTTCTATATTAAACAAGAAAGATGAGTGAAAAATTATGAAAATGGAAAACTGAAGCGAAGAGCACATGTAGCATAGGTTTATAGCAAAATATGGTCAATTGTAAGGGGAGAATGCTAACATGAAGTGCAAAATGGAACTGGAGATTTTGAAATAGAATGTGAATGAGAGAAAAAGTATGGCCGATTCGTGATCTTGCAGTTTGGACTTCACGAGTGTGGAATTTGTTACCCAATGAGCAATGGGACTCAAATACGCGTATCGAGTGGCTGGGCTCTCGGCGATCGAATTGAAGCGGGAAATAAAGCTTAAAAATTATCTTCAAACGCAGTACTGTAGCTGCAACAAAAAAGAAATCTGCCTGGCAGGAATTTTCCAAGTAATGGTAGCATTGTCCCCTTACGTTGACTCATGATTTTTTTCAAGAGATGTCTCCATCATGCTCTGAAATTTTTTTGCGACGCAGACGCAATCTCTCGACAAGGATGCCAGATCAGTACTGAATTTTAATTTTCTTGATTCAGATTTTGGAAATTTAGTTTCTTTAAAGTCCATTCTAGCGCTAGACGAAGAGTTGTTAATCTCATCCTGAATATCACGACAATCATTTTGACTGAGTCTTAGATTCTCTCCTGTGCTGATTCGGTTGTTATAAACTTTGTTAGAGGAAAAATGAGTGTAATTTCTTTGAGATAAAGTGTGTTTAAAGTTTTGACGATTTCTCTGGTAAAATCTAAGTGGACAATTTTTAGAAAATGGATATTATATGTCTTCAGTCTTATTTACTATCCTTAAGTTTGTGATTGCCATTACGTTACGTTCTCAGAATCCCTGAATTTTCAATTGTCGTCCCACTTCTGTCTACTTTTCTACTGAGCTGATTCCTTAATTATTGCAATTATCGACAAACGATAGTCTCTGTATGAGCCCACTCTATTCAGTTCTGAAAATGTATATTAGCCAGGTTTTTCTATATTTCGTGGTACGGTTGAGAATTTTCCCATTTAAACAAAGAAAATGTTTATGACTTGCCAGGTTGATTTTAATGAGTTTTCCGAATATTGAGAGGAGATAGTCTTTGCATGCCGCTCTACTAAGATTAATTTAAATGGTGCAAAGCGCTCTCAGGGGGTCGGACCGAGTGACGCGACACGCATCTTTTTAAAGTGCTAGTAAATAATCGTTTATTGTGATGAGCAATACATGAGATTTGCAAGATGTCAAAACGGTTTACTACTTGAGTATGTTGATAAATCTGCCTTTTTCGCTGTATGCGATGGACTTGGGAATTCCCTATACGGCGCATACAGCAGAAGAAGAAAAGTCATCTGAAAAGAGCTCTAGGCCCTCTTTCATCAGCACCCTGAGCTCCTCTTGGCACGAACAAAAGTAGCAGGCCTCACCAATGAAACTTTGCAACCACTGATGTACCTTTCCTAGAAAAAGTTCACACATAAGTTGCTCTAAATATGGGGTGGGCGTACAAGAGCTTCCCACACTAGAATTCTTGGTAAAAATCACTGACGCACCTATTTACCAGACTACATTTTGAAGGTCGTGGATCAATTATACCTCAGAAGGCCTAGGTACAATCGAATATAAAAAGGGTTTCGAAACCAACACTTTTCAGTCTCAAGTACGCAGTCATGGGTTACAAGCACAAACCGTTACTTCTTCTGCTCCTGATCGCCCTGTTTCAGGTACTGTAAATATTATTAAAGTTCGATTGCTTCTATTTAAGTTTCAGTGTGTTTTTTTGTGGTTCATCATATTTTTCTTTAGATTGCTTGTGTTCCCCAATCATCGGAATGAACGGTTCGGATTAAAACTTTTTTCAAAGGATAAATGTCCCTATAGGCCTCATTGGGCATTTCAATTTAAAATTGTCAAAAATAGTTTCAGAAGAGCCAATTTTACGTTTTGTAATTATAATATTTTCATGATCGACTCACTTTTAAAGCTGTATTGCATGATGCCGGTAGGATCCTCTGATAAAATCTGAGCCTTTTTGTGAATCACCTGAAAAAAGATACACACGACAATGCAGATTCAAAATGCAGTTGCACAATGCAGTAGCTCTTTTTAAATCATTGGCGGAAAAACGCTCCGAATTTTCCCCTAGAATATATTATTGCGCACATCTCGAGAAATAACATATGTCAAGATAATCAACATGGACTTCACATTCACCACATTAAATTGCAAGAAATGTCAGAACAATTCAGGTGTCCGTGTAAAAGTATAAAGAGACCCAATTCTAAACACTGAATATCACCCTAATCGAGAAAAAAAACCTTCCAGACTGAACTAAGATCCTATGTAACAGTGATACAAAATAATTTTGTCACGCAGTTGATTTTTTTTTTTCAAATTAAATTTTGGATCAATTTTGGGCCAAAATGGAGTTTGAATGGGCCCCTATCCTTTCCACCGTTTTACGTTTGTTTCACTGCAAACAAGTGTCAGGGTCCGTCAAATTATATAAAGCGTACCTTTGAGTTGATACCACTCTGGGCCGGATTTAACGCGTAACCAAATGGTCCAGAACGATTTTCACAATGTAAGGTAAAGCAGTGATGAAAAAAAGGAAATGTTACGTATTGCATCTTAAATAATGGCTTTAGCGTTAAACTACGACTTTACGGGTTAGTTTTTAAACCAGAAATTTTTAACAAATGCCTCAGAATAAATATAAATTTCGACGATTCGCCAAGTTTTTCAAGTAGTTACGAATGGATTTTGAATTTTTCAACACTCCGATAGGCAAATTTGATCAAAATATTAATTCCTAATACGCGAAGCGTTTGAATTGAATTTTTCAAAATTGAGAAGACCCACGATCACATTTTTGCAAATATCTCCTCAACAATTAATCCTACGAAAAATACAAAAAAAAAAAAAAAAAAAAAAAAAAAAAAAAAAAACAGCAGAAAGAAAATTAAATTTCCTACCGAAATCACCCTCCCTTTTCTTTCCTAGCTTAATTTTTTGGTCATTAAATTAACATGTTCTTCCAAAATTAGCTGAAAAAAGGCGCATTTTTGCTGATTTTCGGGAGAAACTTTGGTTCATATCTCCAGCCACGATTATCTGAGGAGAAACTATCAAGCTCATTGAAAAGAGCGTAAAATTAACTTCTAAAAAACATACGTCAAAAGTTCAAAAGCTTGATTCAATCCTGGATTTCCCATAAAATAAGAATATGAAAACCTAAAAACGCGGCTCGAACTGTGTGACAAGGTGGTTTTTAGATTCTCAGGTTTTCAAAATCTAATTTTAAGGGCGGAGCTAATAAAATTCTGTTTGTCAGAATTAAATCAAGCTGTTGAACTTTTGACATATGTTTTCTAAAAGTTAATTTACGATCTTTCCAATGATTTTAACAGTTTTTTTCTCAGATAACTGTGGCTAATATGAACGAAAGTTTGTTCCAAAATCAGCAAAAATGCGCCTTTTTCCAGCTAATTTTGGAAGGAAATGTTAATTTTACGACCAAAAAATTAAGCTAGGAAAGAAAAGGGAGGGTGATTTCGGTGGGAAATTTTATGTTCTCTCTGTTGTTTTTTCCCCTTTTTTTTTTGTATTTTTCGTAGAATTAACCGTTGAGAAGATATTTGCAAAAATGTGATCGTGGGTTTCCTCAATTTTAAAAAATTCAAAATTCAAATTTTTGCTTTTAATTGAACCCCATAACTGAATGCGAAGAAACTCTTTGGCCATGGGTCATACAATTCTCTTCAAAAGGTTCATTTCATACAGAGTTCCCACCTATCGATTGACGTTTCCAATACGGTAAAATTGAGAAAATCTGATGAAATGGGCCTTACTGAACTTTTTGAATGTTTAACCAGCGTCAAAAATTCTCATTCCAATAGAAATGAAACTTTCTTTCAGCAGCAGATCTCTCTTTTTTAGACATGGGCAAACGAATTAGACTGGAGGAAAAACTTCTATCGTAGTCAAATTCACTGATTCAATTTTTTTCATGTCATATTTTAGGTGCAGTTTTCTCCATGCGCTTCTGACTCGATTCAAGATGAAATCAACGTCGAGGTTTCCCCAAATCTCGCAAAGGCCGAAATAGGAAATGAACCCCTCGCAAAGGATAACGGTGACAATGTCGAAGTTTCCCCAAGTCCCGCAAAGGCCGAAACAGAAAATGGACCAGTCGACGAATTGGCGATTCTCAAAAAACAATTGAAAGAGAAAAAGGCCGAGCTTAAGAACCTGGAGAAGGAGAAGGAGAGTATCCTGAACGAGGCATACAGAACCCGCGCGAGGAAAATCAGAGAGCAGAAAAAAGAACTCCAGCCTTATTTCCAAAAGCAGAGCGTGTTGAATAGTAAGTTACAGACAGTGTGGAACAAATGGTTCCAGGCATCCGAAAACACTGACCGTGCTATCAAGGACCTCAACAAGAAAATCATCCGCCACGAAGACAATCCTCAGCTGATCGCAAAATGGGAGAAACAACTGCAGGAAAAGAGGAAGGAACGCGCCGCGATCCAAGACGAATACGAGACAAAGTCGCGACCACTTGTAGAAGAGAGGAAAGCCAACGCTGAGTTTATCCATGCTAGACAGCAGAGAGACTTGGAACCGTTTAAGAAGGCCGAGGAAATGGGCAAAATCATTGAAGCCAAGAAAAGAGAGGTCAAAAAATTGAACGATGAGATTAAAAAATTACGTCAGTTACAAAAGGAAACTGAAAATTTTGAGAGATTGTCGAAGTAACGGTCTACGAATCATTACTTTTCTCAACTTTCTCCTTCAATTTTCCATGATTTAAAGTATTTTCGTCGACCACGGTTCATGAATTGAGGATCCTCCAAGTGAATTTGCTTGTTTTCTATATACCTAAGAAAGCAACGTCCTTATTTCCTCTGCATCTCAATCCTAAAAATCTATATTTTTATCTAATCTATAAATAAAATATCATCGGCTGCTTACTACAGATGATTATGGTATGAAAATGGTATTTGCAAAAGTCTCATTTTTAGTACCATCCGATTTAAGTAAAGACTTCAGAGCCTCCTCAATTTTTGAACCTAAATTGAAGGTATTGCAAGCTTTTATTGTGGAGAAATTGTAATCTGTGTTTTGAACTCATTGACTATTAACATATTTAACTGCACGATTAATTTTTACTGCGTATTTTTTTTCTGATCATCTTTCTTTGTGCAAAGCATGCACCATATGGACACAACTTATTCGGTTCATGAAACTGAACCTTTCTCTCATTTGGACGTATTTCTATCAAACGGAACTAAGCGCCATAGGGTGAGGAAGGTAGAGGGGGGGCTTGGATTGGCGGCGGAATCGGGCATCCGGCTTATTCCGTCCTATACTCGCAATGCTTTTCCATGGCGCTTAGTTCCGTTTGACAGAACATATCATAATGGAGATGTTGCATGTGTGAGGAATTTGCGATTTGACTGTTGTTGATTCTTATGTTAAAGTTCGCGAGAAACACGATGGTGAAACTGGTTTTCTCTGAAATCAACTCCCAAGCTCAAAAAAGCTCTTAAGTTGAGGCCGAAATGGAGGGGATATCCCACGCTACCCTGAGAGTCCACCTCTACATCAAGACAAACCCTCTATGCAAAGATAGGGAGCAAATACATTGACAGGGCTGCCACTTTATTTGGGGACTCCAAAACTGAAAACACGGCAACCCTGCTAATGTACTTGCTCCCTATCTTTGCATGGAGAGTTTGTCTTGATGTAGAGGTGGACTCTCAGGATAGCGTAGTACATCCCCTCCGTTTTGGCCTCAACTTGAGAGCTTTTTTTGAGCTTGGGAGTTGATTTCAGAGAAAACCAGTGGCACCGTCGTCTTTCTCGCAAACTTTTACATAAGAGTCAACAGTCAAATCACAGATTCCTCACAGATGCAACATCTCCATCCCCCGGTCCATTCCAGTCTATAATCTTTGCAAGTAAAAATGTAATCTTTACTCCCGTTTATTACACTGTGGAGGCCTAAAATACGGAATGGATTCACATTGTCTTTACTCTCAGTATAAAGCGACTCTAGTTTTATCTGTCATCGTGAGACTAACTCCAAATCTCATCCCGAAAATCATCGATGAGCGAGAGTGTTTCTTCATGACCGGAACGTAGCGCACACCCGTCAAGTTGTCGGAGTCTCCTCTGCGGAAGCCCTTTAAGTTAATTACGTAACCGTAACCGGAAGGTAGTTTTTCGTGCTTGGCATTTGTTCGCGGAGACAGTTGAATAAAGCATTTAGGCGTCTTAAGATGCTGCTCTGTATGCAGAAAATGCAAAGTGGCTCCCAGTTACGTCCGGAGCAGACTTCGCGACAGGACGCCCGCTTCGACCACGCTGCCAAGAGCACACTTTAAACGCGAGGAGGAAAAGACTTTAGTTCATATGTTGGTATCTCATTGAAAAACAGCTTTTTGATAAAATTTAGAGAATGTCGTATTTTTATAAATAGGTTTGCTTTTTAATTACAATGGTATTTGGATCGCATTTTGCAAAAAGGAACCAGCGCGATTACAATGTTTTAAAAATGTTGCTTCTTCATATTTATCAAACATTTTCCCCAGAAACAGCAAATAGTTTTGGCTATTCATCAGAAAATTGTGAAATTTAAAGGAAAATAATTGTGTGAATTTTAATACTGTGCTTATATTATGTGTTTTTAAAAGGAAGGAGAAGTTGCACTATGTTGAAAACACTGTAATCGCTCTGGTTCCTTTTTGCTAAATGGGATCCATTTACACCGCTATATTTAATTTCATCTGAACTTCAAAAACTCAGAGTAATTACTCATTTTTACGACCGTAATACTCCGATTTCAGTATACAGAAAAACGGTCTACGTTAAAGACAAAGCAAGATCGTCATCTCAAAAATTCCACACACTGGAAAAAAAAGTCCCATGGATCTACAGTTCAGACTCTTAAAAATTATACTAAAAAAATTTCTTGATTCAATTGGATTTTTGCTTGAATCGAGAGATTTCCTTCTGATTCAAGCAAACATTCGATTAAATCAACAGTATTTTTTCTTGTCAAATTTTTCAAGCGTCTGGATTTTGGATCCAACATACTTTTTACCAGTGCATCCCACTACTCTCGTCTGCCTAAATCGGAAAGTGTAGGACGCAGAAAGGGTGGATAACGCATTTTGGCCTCTCCGTTTTAGGGCCGCACCTAAATGAGGTAACGCCTTTTCCCGGCATATTTGACCCCCCTCCCTACCCCTTGTAACGTTATTGTGACGTAGGCCCCAACCTTTAACACATAAAGACAAAATGGCGTAACGATCTCCTCAACCCCCCCCCCCCAGGGCGTTACGTAATTTGAGGACGGTTTCTTTTGCGTCTCCGATACGAACTCGGTTTTAGTCTCGTATATTGAAAATTTTAGAAGTCTTCGGCAATTTTCCGCGTGAAATTTCGCGAGGGTGGAGTTGGCGCTCGCACTGAAAAAAAATTCTTGGCATTTTTACCAAGGTCCGTTGGTGCCTTTACCGTCTCACTTTTTTACCAATTATTGGTAATTTTACCAAGACAGACCGGTAAGCTTACCTAAAAACCGGCATTTTCACTGTTTTTTTCACGTAAGAATACCACTTTTATCGGTAATCAATTCCCGGTAACTTTGCCATTTTATCTCGGTAATTCTACCACAGTCGATAAAAAAAAATTGGCGTTTTTACCAAGGTCCAGTAAAATTACCGAGAAAAGTTCAATAATTTTACCGAGATTTCTCGGTAAAGTTACCAATTCCATAAATGGTAACTTTACCAAGAAAAAACTGGGATCCAATAGAACCCTGCATTCTTGGTGATTTTACCCTTTTCTTAGTAAATACACCGAGATTTTTTTTTCAGTGTAACACGTGAAAACAAAATGGCGTAACGCTCTCCTCGACCCCTCCCCCCCAGGGCGTTACGTAATTTGGGGACGGTTCATTTGCGTATCCGATACGAACTCGGTTTTTGTCTCGTATATTGAAAATTTTAGGAGTCCTCGGTAATTTCCCGCGTGAAATTTCGCGAGGGTGGAGTTGGCGCTCGGTTCGGCAAGCGGGCGCGGGCGATCGTGCGGGTTTTCCGAAATAAGTCCGGGAGCTTTTTATTCTGGGCGTGAGTCTGGAGCACTCTCAATCTGGAGCCGGGGCTGGGAGCCAGCGCCGCGGAATTTATCGTAAAGTCAACGATAAATCTTGGCCCGGGGCGGATTCGCTCCACTCCACGTCTTCGTCGTAGTGCGTTCCCAAGCAGCATCCCACCGCACCGTCACTAGCAAAGGAGTAAGCTAGAAAAAGTTTCATCCAAGCCGGAAAATTATGTCGTTCGGCTGGGATCGAGCTAGAATCTTTTTATGCTCCCGTGCTAAGGAAAAACGCCGTATACACATTCATTCAACGAAATTTTACCTAAAAACAGCAAATAATTTGAGAATTAACTTTTGGCAGGGATTGACCTAGAATCTTTTTATGCTGCCGTGCGAAGGAAAAACGTCGTATACACATTCATTCAACGAAATATTCCCTAAAAACAGCAAATAATTTGAGAATTAACTTTCGGCTGGGATTGAGATAGAATCTTTTTATGCTCCCGTGCTAAGGGAAAACGCCGTATGCACATTCATTCAACGAAATTTTACCTAAAAACAGCAAATAATTCGATAATTAACTTATAGTAGTAAAATCCATACTTATAATGGGATTAAGACCTTAAAAGTAAAACTTGAAGAACCTGGATATTTCGCAGCCATTACAAGCGCATTTTCAACCGGAAATGGAAAAAACAAAATTACAAAGAAACTGTAACTTACTGAGCCTCAACGCTGTTATTTAGAGACATGTCTCATTTTCAGTTGTTTATTTTGTATTCAACTTAGATTGAGAAGTTAGTTTTTGAACCTGCAGGCGTTACCAAACTTCCTGAGGTAAAAACCGAATTTCCTGAGGAAATCGTGATTATTTGTTTCCAAAATTTTCAAACTTTGTACGCACTTTAATCTAAAATATCTGAAAGTTTAAAGGAAAAGTATGCACAACTTTCCTGAAAAATAAAGGTTTTATTTGGGGGAATTTGGCAACTTTCGAATGTTCATACTGCGTTCTTCCTTAGCACGGCAGAAGGGGAGTTGAGACAATGTGGCTCATGGATGTCACGAACGGGAATAAAGATTACACAAATTGAACTTTTTTGTAATCTTTGATCATCTCATTCTCAAATTCCAGTCTCCGTTCTCACACTCATTCCTTGCCGTGCCCCTCATTCTCTGGTCCTTTATATAGTTTATAATCTTTGCAATTGGTGCAAATGTAATCTTCATTCCCGTTTGTGAAACTGTGGAGGCCTAAAATACGAGAACCAATCAGAGATGGCTTCGTATTGTCTTTACTCTCAATATAACATGTACTCTAAATAGAGCCATATGCGCATATTGTAGTTTCTCGCGCAATAGAACGTAGTGCAGTTCAATACTGCCAATTTTCCCCTCACAAATTGCATCTTTACCAGGAGAATCTTTGGTATTTCTGACTGAAAATTTCACTGATTTTCCCTCTGATCTCATGCAAAAATTAGAAAAAATTTAGACGAGAATTGCACCGGTACATTCCCGTAAAAGATTTAATAATTTTTGTCAGTTTTGCAACTTCGGAATGGAGTTACGTTCCTTCGTCGGGAAAACGACGATATAAAGCACCAAGAATCAAAAACTACAAACTCCATTCCGATGTCTAAAAATTTGGCAGTTGTTTTAATTTTTAAAAAAAAAAGTAATCGATAAGACTTCCTGTTTAAAATATTGTCATAATTTTCTCTCTAACATGTAGAAAAGAATGAGGCCGGGAAGGTAAGTCAAATAAGACAAAACAAAAAATTATCTCCACGCATTATAGACTTGGAAAGCAGGAGAGTGAATGATGCAGTAGATGAAGGCGCCCGGATGTAACTATTCGTGTTTGGAGAATGTCCGGGTTGCATACGCAAAAAACTGAAGGCACTTTGATATGATCGATTTTCCTCCGTTTCAGTACGCATGCACATGGTTTGCTGTCTCAACCAGAGCAACCGAGTAATATTTACAGTAAAATTGCCATCGATGAATGCAAGTTTTAAAACTGAATCTTTCTTATTGGTTCCAAAAATCG